TTTCTAAACCTATCATATATAGGAGAAATTTTTATTTCCAACATTTTTCTGCTTTTTTCCATCCTGATGTAAATATGCTGTCGTTTTTGTCCTTTTAAGACAACATTTAAAACCTGTTCCCCTCAATCTCCTTACTGGCTCTAGCTAGCCATCCTCTTTCCCTCGGGTGGCTGCCCCAGCTCATTTCTCTTAGTCATAGCCAGATTTCCTAAAAACATCGACCAAGTTGATATTTTCACCTTTTTCTCACCCTGATAGCTTTTCAGCCTCACTTTCACTAGAGTGAGCAGTGGACTCTTCACTACACCAAATACTATTTTTCAGTCCTCATTTTGCTTACTCCTTCCACCACATCTTCATTGTGTCAGGAAGTGCATCAGACTGTGGATGCTGCAGCTACCTCAGGGTAACAAGCCTACCCTCTCATAGACCCTACATTTCAGCAGAAAAATTTGACAGTAAACAGATAAATACTAAACAAATCAGAAAATCCCCCCCCCCAAGAAAGTGTTACATTAAAAATTAAACAACAGTATGATAGAGGAAGAATGAGAAGCTACTTAGATTGGCTAGCCTTTGCAAGGAGGTAACATTTAGTCTTGGAATCTGAGTGATAAGGAATCAGCACCCCAGAGATCTTAGAAAAGAAAGCTGTTAGGTGGAAACAACTACAGCAACAAAAGGCACAGATGGGGTCTGCATTGATAATGATGTCAGAGGAGAAAGGCAAGCAGATCTGGAGTTTGGTGAGAAGGAAGTAGACCTTGAGGGCAAGAGACACATTCTTCTATTGTATTTTGAGTACAATTAAATCATTAGAATTTAAGCAGGGGGGCCTGCCCCTTAGTTCATTTCTTTAAGTGGCTGCTTCAACAAAGCAGGCCAGGTTGCTGTGGTTCGATCCCCACAAGTCAAGCCAACCAAACCTGCCCTGAAGGTATTTGGAGAAAAAAAAAAATCCTTAAATGGGGCCAGCAAGATGGCTCAGTAGACTAAGCCCTTCCTTGGCAGGCACAAAGGGCTTGAGTTCAACCCCCGGGTCTCAAAAAAAAAAAAAGGAATTTAAGCAGGATCACACTGTGCCAGAGATAATAACAGTGAGGAGGGAGTTGCCCTCATGTTGGATGTTTTGGAGATTAAAACTCATTTGCTGATGAATTAAATAGGAGGATGTGGGAGTATGGGAAGGTGAGAATTTAAAGGTGATTCATAGTGGTCTTTGTTTTTAACTTGAGAACAGAGATAGTGATTCCTTTAAGAAGATTGGAAAACAGGCAGTTATTAGTCTGAGAGACAAGATCAGGAGTCTTACTTTGCCATTTTACATGAAGATAGCTGCTTCACATCCAGGTGAAGATATCATAGAAGTGACTGGAGGGATCTGAGGGGAGGTGGGCTGAAGTTACAGTGCCTTAGTCATTAGGAAGGAATGAGTGTTCATGGCACTGGCTGAGGGGAGGAAACAGAGAGAAGAGGAGGTTCCAGCACCTGGCTTCCTCTAGGAAAGATTCTCACATGACACCTCAGTTCCATTTTTCTACTTATTGCTGTGGTCACTCCCTGCTGTCCTCCTGTGCCAGCCACTGCTTGTCTACTCTAGCTTTTTTGTCATTTGAGGCTCTCACAGGAACTGAAGTTAGGAGTATTTCATACTGAAAGACAGAGCTATCCTTTTGCTTAGATCAGTTTTATCAAATTGATTTCTCTCCAGCCCCCTTCCACTGCAGGTCCTTCTTGCTTACTGTCTCCTGCTTGCAGACACTATCAATTCCACCTTTACTTTTGGTTCAGGTGCATGTATCTTTAGGCCTAGCTTAAGTGTTCTTCTCTTTGGGGTTGCCTTTGAATACTGTAGACCAGGTTAGGTTTTTTAAATAATATTTATGACATTTGTAAATAATGAATTGTTTGTATAGTTGATTATCTTCCCCAAATCTTTTTTTTTATTCATTCATTCATTCATTCATTCATTCATTCATTCATTTAATTGGTACAGGGTCTTGCTACACAGCTCAGACTCATACTGATCCTTCTGTTTCAGCCTCCCCAGCACTGGGATTACAGGCATGTGTCACCACACCTGATTTCAGTGGCTGCCTTGGCAGGGGGCTGGCATGGCATGTGGTACCAGGGATCAAAGCCGGGTCCTTGTGCTTGCCAGGCTGGTGCTTAGACCACCAAGCTATCTCCCCAGTGCTCTTCCCCAAATCTTAACTCATATCATTTTGTGCCTGTCCTTTCTTTTGGTTGGTGTCCATGGTGAATATAAGTTCCATAAGTGTGTGGACTAGGAATTGTTTTGTCCCTGGTGCCTAAGAGGTGATCTAATTCTAGTTGTTTTATAAATATTTGTAGAATATTGAAAAGAGAGAAGAAACAAGTTTAGACATTGCAGGATATTTAGAAGTAGCTATTATACTATCAAAAATAATATTGAATCTATGATACCTCTTCCCCAGGTACCTTATTTGGAGTAGTTCAATTTCAGTTATCAGGGAAGGAGCAAGAAAAGTTAGGGAAAAGAATTCAAGATCTTCAGCGTTCTTAAAAGTTTTAAGGAAAATAACTGATGAGACTTATTGAAATGTATAAGAACAAGTAATTTTTCCTTTTTACAGATAGTCCTCATGTGTTGGGAAAATCGACTATATGATGCTATGATTTATGTCTACAACAGAGGCATGAATGAATTCATTAGTCCAATGGAGGTAAGGATACTTCTTAACTTGAGGTATACATTTAATATTGTTAACAGAGGTTTGTACCTGTGTTGTTTATTTATTATTTCTTCGCCTATATCTTGTAATATGAGAAACTACTTTGGCAGTAACAATACACAATGTACTAACACATTGTTACTCTCCTGAAATCTTGTTTTGAGATTTTGTACCATTGTTTTTATTTTTTTTTTTCTTTAAAATAAAATAACTGATGTCAAAAAAAAAAAAAAAACATGCTGGGGACAAAGTAAAAAAAATATTGTTTATTAATTTTTCCTTATTCTCCATTTGCTTTGAATAGTTTTTTTATCCAGTCATTTTGAATTATTAGACTTATGTTTTTAAAAATTCTTTTTTTTTTTTGGCGGAACCGGGGATTGAACTCAGGCCCTTGCGCTTGCCAGGGAAGCACTTATTCCACTGAGCCATCTCCCCGGCCCAAAAATTCTTATTTTTATTAGTACATGTTTGCAGTAGATAATGATTGCATTCAGCATTGAGCATGGGGAGTTGGCCGATGTACAGAACACATCTTAACTCTTTTTACATTCCCTTTTCTCTCCCCCCATGTCTTATTCTTCCTGTTTTACAGACTTGTACTATTTTAGCTTGGGGCTTATAAGTAGTATTTTTTTTGTTTGTTTGTTTTGTTTTTATTTTTATCTTAAAATTTTTTGGGGGTGCTGGGGATTAAAATAAGCACATACTGTATCACTGAACTATACACTCAGCCCAAGTATCCTTTAGTTTCATTATTTTCTTACTGCCTTAGTAGGTGTCAAAATCCCAGAGAACAATAGATAAAGTAATGCTTGCCTTTTAGACTTTTTTCTTCACATAAGAATTTTTTTTATACCATAGAAACTTCTTCAGAAGGTATGACATATATGTTATGTAATTATTATATATAATGAAAGTGCTGGATAATAGTATTTTGCATATATATTCTTCTGAGAGTACTGAAAATTACAGGTCATTACTTGTTAATTGTTAATGTGTTGCTTTTCCAAATTTGGAATTTTATGGCATTTGTAATAATTTTTTATTTTCCTTACCTAGAGAGTCCAAAAAGCATTTAAGCTTTTATTTTATCCATTTGTTACCTGCTTTAAATTGAAGACAGAATGGTGGGTATTGGGGCTGTAAATACAGTGCCCGGCCCACTGCTTTATTATAGTGATTAATATACCTCAAGCGAGAAAGAGCCAGGGATCCACTAATGGCACCCACTCAACTCTTTTGCAGATTTTATTTTTTTATTTTTAAATTTTTTTTATACCAGGGATTGAACTCAGGATGTTGTGCTTGCCAGGCAGGCACTTTTGCTGCTGAGCTATCTCCCCAGCCCTCTTTTGCAGATTTAATGGCATTCAAAACTATCTTCAAGGACCAGCCAAATAGCTCAGCGGATTAAAGTGCCTGCAAGCAGGCGCAGGGGGTTTGATCCCCGGGCCTGCCATGCCAGCCCTACCCTGGGGCATCCTGAGATGGCAATTGAGACTTGATGTGGTGGCACACACCTGTAATCCCAGCTCTTGGGAGATTGTAAACAGCCAGATTACTGTCCTAGACCCTGAACACCCTGTAGACTCTTCCCTAAAGTACAAAAAAAGAAAAAAGAAAAAAACCAAAAACCCCCCCAACTATCTTCAATATTTTTTATTGTCTTTTATTTATTGTTATTATTATTCTTATGTGTTTGTCACAGGGTCTCACTGTGCAGCTCAGACTCATAGTGATCCTCCTGTCTCAGCCTCCCCAGTGCTGAGATTACAGGTGTGCCATCACACCTGGTCTTGGTGGCTGACTCAGCACACCTGGGAGTGGGGCTGGTGCAGCCTGTGGTGCCAGGGATCAAACCCTGACCCCTGTGCTTGCCTAGGCAGGCACTTAGTCTACTGAGCTATCTCGCTGGCCCTTATCTTTGCTACTATTATGTTAGCAGTCATTCTCTCAAATTTTGGTTTTCATTCTCTCAAATATTAGGTAGGGTATCTCTAACTGACCACCTTTCAATTTTAGCTACACATGTCTTTTCTTGGTCATTGTCTAAAATTAGTGTCAGTTTTGGCTTTGGTTATCTATATGAAAAGTATTATTTCACTTAACACCTTTCAGCAGCTTCCTTGGTGAAGTCTGGTTCTTCCCTACATACAAAAATGTTCACTATGCTGTGATACTAGACCACAATCAGGAAAATTAGTTTTAGTTTTCCTCAAAATAACCTCTCAACTCAGATTGTAATTTGATGTGTTCTATATTAACAAATGTGATTGCTAGATTTTATGTCGCTTTCGAAATTTTTTTTTGGGGTATTTTTATTCCTCACAGTCTGGTTTACATTTATACTTGTACATCTCAGATGGAACCCTGGGCCATTGAGATTGCCTTGTTTTGTGTTCAGAGTAGTTTTCAGGTTTAGTGGCTTTCATCAGGAACTTGGTAGTTGTTATTAAATGGTCACTTGGAGATTTCAGCAGTGGGAGGTTAGGTGTATCCTGTGAACCATATTTAGGTGAACCATATTTTGGTTCCTCTTTCTAATTCTCTGCCTATAAAGAAATCACTTTTCAGTGTTTGAAGTTTAGCTGTTTTAGTACTTAAAGAGGTCTGTATTAGGAGATGGTATCCTATCTTTGGAGATATTCTAGATTTTCCAGAGTAAAAGAGTGTCATTACGTTTGAAATGACTACTGAAGCCTCTGCTCCTGCTCCCAACCTCAGTCTCAATGCTGAGGGACAGTAAGAAGCTGGGAGTGGGGAGGACTGTAATACACAGAATAATAGGAGGAAAGACAGTGTCCTGTACATGTGTGTGGGAACACTATGTAATGAGTGTCTCTGTGAACAGTCCAAGTAAATGTGTGTATTAGCAATTTAGCAAACAAGAGGGAGACGGCAGAGCTAGGGCTTCAGTGAGAAAGAATAGAATGTTCTTTGGGGACTATTTTATGTTGAGATAATAATTCTTATTATGTTGCCCAGTCTGCCCCTAAACTCCAGGGCTCAACCAATCTTTCTGCCTCATCCTTTTGAGTAGCTGGGACTGCAAGTATATGCCTGGTTTCTTTGGGCTTTTTGATGCTAATGGACTGCTGAATTATACTTCCTAGTGCTAAGGGTCAGAAGTCTCCCAAACAGGAAGTGCCCATGCAGGGTGGGGGAGTGTTTATGGCAGACATATTTTTGGGGAGGCTTTGCTTAAGTTTAGATAATCTTTCTCTGTGTGGCTGCTAATTATTAGATGTTTTCAGTTTAAAGTAATCTTTATAAGCACTTTGGTGAGATGTTAATAAGGTTCTTTGGTGAACCTAAGACACGTTATGTCAGAAATTATAATCGCAACATAAACTTTAGTGTAGCTGGTTTGTATTAAATGGCTTCTTTCAGTGAAGAGTCTGACAGTGATTTTTTTCCTTAGTGATCCAGCTAAACAGTTCATATATACAATAAGTTTTTAGATTTAATCTCAACAGGAAGGATGACTAATTCCATCTCAAAAAGGTAATTAATAATGATTCCTGATTATTTTTTAAAATGTTGGTGATTGTTTTTTCTATTAATTTTATTGCAGAAACTTTTCAAAGTCATTTCTCCTCCTCTGAATGCAGGAAAAACACTAACAGGTATTACTCTTCTAAGCCTTAATTTTTTTCTTGCTTTTGTATTATTTAAATGTTATAAAAATTGTCAATTATATGTATGCAGTGTGAATTTTGGTAACCACATATTTTCATGTGATCATCACTACAACCAAACCATGGAAAGGACTACATTTTCTTCTATTTTGAGTTAGAAATGATTTCTAACTTTATTCTACTTCAATTAGAGAGCATGCTTTTTTGTGGGTTTTTTTTTTTTATCTTTTTTAGTTCATTGAGACTCATTTTATGATTTAATACATATACAGTCTTCTGGAGGATGTTTCATGTGCATTTGAGAGTAATGTTTTGAATGTGTTTGTTGTTTAGTGGAATGTTCTTTAGATATCTGCGAGATCTAGTTGGCGTGGAGCTTTATTCAGGTTTTCTCTTTTGTTTATCTTCTGCTAATTGCCTTATCTGTTACTGAAAAATGTGGTAAGTCTTCAAATACTGTTGTTGAATTTTCTTTTATTTGTGTCAGTTCTTGCTTAATTTTTTATAGTATTAAATATTTAACATGTAAATGAAAGACAAATACTTTTATCCAGCTGTCTTTAAACTTCTTAAAACAATGATAGTATTTTTTTAAAAAAATTTTATTTATTTGTGTGTGTGTGTGCGCGCGCGTGCGCGCATAGCCAGCTCAGCCCACCAGGGGACCGGGCTGGCTGGCATGTGGTGCTGGGGGATTGAACCGCGGTCCCTGTGCTTTGCTAGGCTTGCTCTAAGTAGGTGCTTTAGACCACTGAGCCATCTCACCAGCCCAATGATAGTATTTCTTAAAAAGTTCTTATGCTCATAATTAATAAACTGGTGACATTAAAAATTATTTTAATTCATATTAAAAGGTAGATTCCTTCCAGATTCACCCAGTTGCCACATATCTGAGCTGAAACAAAAATATTAATTACTTTTTTATAACACACTAAATGTTCATGAGTGCGTTCTGCTGCTTTAAGCTTTATGTAGAAGGTTTTGACTTTATGGGAAGCACATTGTCTGTGAAATTTTCTAATTACATATTGGAATATTAGAAAGCATTTACACTTTGAAAAGTCAGAAAGGCAGAACATGAAAGACTTTCTTCACAAATGTTACTGGATGGGAGCCAAGGGGGGTTCCCCAGAGAGGAGCTGGAGACCTCAGCTCAACCCACAGAGTAGGTTCATTGGCTCATCACAGAAAAGCATTTCAGGATGCATCAGTGTAAGGAATAGGCAGGTTTATTAGGTAGTTAGAAAATAAGGGAGGATGTGAAAGCAGCTGGAGCAGAGTGCCCTTTGATGCAGAGGTTTGGACTGGCCCACTCACAGAAGAGCAAGGGCAGCTTTTATGTATTTGTTAGAGTGGGCCAGTATCTGGTTGATCATTATCTCAGTTCTGATTTCATAGCTCTGGAGAAATCCTTACAAACTGAGGAGCAATTTGATTCCCATAAGATGACGATCTTATTTTGAGGGTGAGGAGGAGCCTCGGTTCCAGTCATGAGGTAATTGTTCCCACCTGGGGTGGTAACTCATCATAGGGTGGTTTGAGAGGCTTTTCCTGAAATCCAAGGTGACTGGAGTTTTAGGACAATTTCTAGGCATGCTCTAGGGGTTTGGAATTGGACATCAAAGCTGACAAATGAATGTCCCTGCAAATCCTGAAAATTAGTTACTGTTATCTTGATGTCATCAGTATAGAAGGGGGATGAGAGAGAGTAGTAGTAAATTTAGGACTTCTAAATCTTGTAATATAGATACTCTGTAAGTGATTAACATGCCTCCATGCAGAGCTGAGCAGGAATTTAACCCAAGGTTTTAAAGTAATAAAGGAGAGAGAAAATTGAAAGCAGAGATACCAGCCTTCATCTTGCATGTAGTTACCCATTGGGCATCTGCAGGGCCAGCCTCTGGGTCAGTAATGGCAAGCCTGTGGCACACACACCACAGCCGGGTGTTTGTATCATTAAAAGCTGTGAAAAGTTCACCTGCCACCACTGCTTTGGATCCTTGTTACAGATCCTCTATTAATTGTTGAGGGAGGTAGGGTTTGGCCAGTCCACCTTTGTAAGTTTTCTGCCCAGGTAGTAAAGTAGTAGATGAAAAAGGGACAAGCTGAGTTCAAGTTTCTGGAATGCCTGCTTGCAAGCCTGGGAAGTAAGCGTATGGAGGACAGGTATGGATAACCAAGGATATTTTTGTGTGTGTGTGTGTGGAACCAGGGATTGAACTCAGGCCCTTGTGCTTGCCAGGCAAGTGTTTATTCTACTGAGCCGTCTCCCTGGCCCAACCTTGGATAATTTTGATCATGCTTTAGAATTACATTTTCCTCATCACCTCTTTCCCTACCTTTATTTGTCTTACCTCAATAAGAGGATACTCTACTATCATTAGGAATATGCTGTGGACATAATTTTATGTTTCTATGTTACAAATAGGAGTATTACTGGAGAATTATTTTAAACAATTGGTGTTTTTAATTCTCTTTTTTTGTTCAAAAATGTGATCTTTATTTTAGGAAGAGTCATATCTGTACTTCTTCCACATCACACTCATCTGTTTACTTTCACAGATCTTTTGCATTATGTTTCATCCATAACTTTGCAAAGTAGCCTTTTCTTATTCACAAATACAAGTATTTTTTTGACTTGTAAGCTGTTTTCTTGAAACTTTTTTCTAGGAACATCTGATAGTTTAGACACATTTAGTCTGTAACTCTTTGCTTCAGTTTTTCTGGATATTTGATAAAGAAAAATAACAAAATCAGAACTTAACATTCTTTGCTTGGATGTGTTCACTTTCATCCTCCTTGAACAAGAATCCTATATGATTAACTCCTATGTTCTAAGTAACTTTTTAAAAAATGTATTTGCTATAGGGTCTCACTACGCAGCTTGGAATTGTGGTGAACCTCTTGTTTTCAGCTTCACCAATGCTGGGATTACAGGCATGCACCACCACGCCCAATCTTAATGTCTCAGTGCACCCTGGAGGTGGGGTAGGCACTGCATGCCTGAGATTAAACCCCAGTCCCTGGACCTGCCTAAGTAGGTGCTTTAGTCTGCTAAGCTATCTGGCCAGTCCTTCCACTCACCTTTGATCTAGTAATTACCACTGCACTCTGCGGTTCCTCAATTCTGGAGTTTCAAGAGTGTGTTCCTGTTTCCTGCCCTACTCTGGTGAGGCCCTCATGGCAGACATCTTCACCATGACAAAAACATATGCCAGAGGGATCACATGCTAAACCATGAAGCAGATTTCCATTTCTTGCTTACTTTTATTTTGGAATTTTCAGGTTCTGGCAGACTCGTTTTGCCTTAGCCTTCTTTTCCTGCTTGGGCAAAGCCTTAAATTAAGCGATAAGCTTTATACTATTGCCATTTCTGATCTACCACGGCTGTGTGCACAGCCTTGCACATATGCAAGCCCTGGAATTTAGGAATGCTATGTGTCGGAGCATTGCAGAATCCCCTGCAGACCCATTCTTTGGTTTATCCTTCTAAATTTTTTGGAGGACTTTTAAACGTTCCCAGTTGCCAGCATTGCCTTAAGCAGCTGTATGTTAAACGGTAGTACTGTTTGTTGTTACAAATGACCCAGGTATGGTGCTCTTCCACTGGAAGGGTTCCTGAGTCATGATAGGAATACAGGGAAATTTGGGTTCTGTTATTTTTGTCTACTGAGTGTTTTCCCTTTGTTTTGTCAGGTAATTTTCCTAAGAATGGAGCTTTTAAGTGAGCTGCCAGCTCTGTCCCATAAACATTGCTTCAAGAATTGAGCAGTTTGGAGCTCTAAATCCATTCTTCCCCCTCAAGTGGATGCCGAGTTGCTGATTTTCATAGCTCTTGATGTTGACAGATGGAGTGTTGTGCTGTGTTTTGAGGCGAGGGCTCATTTTGTAATTCAGGCTGGTCCTGAACTCACTGTGTAGCCTTGGCTATGTCAAACTCACAGTGATCCTCCTGTCTCAGCTTCCTAAGTGTTGGGATTATAGATGTACACTACCATACCCAGGTAAGGCTTCTGGTTTAAAAGGCCACCATGGATCTGTGGACAGAGTGTGGTAGAGAAGAACTTCCACAAAGCCCACTGTACTGACTGATACTCAACATTTTTCTGGAATAAACACATTTCTCAGATTATGGCAAATCTTTAGTTTTCAAAAGTTTTGAAAAAAGTTGATTTTGACAGTTTTTGTCAGTGTTTTCATTGCTTTTTGGAGGAACAGAGTTTTTGAGGACTTTATTTCACCATTTTAGGGTCTACCTTACTAGATTTTGTATTTTATTTTGTTTTGTTTGTGGTGCCAGAGTTCAAACCCAGGGCCTTAATACATGCTAGGCAAGCACTCTCCTGGTTAGCTAAATCCCCAAGTCCTTGTTTTTGGTTCTTTTGGGCTTTTTTACCCCCCTTCTGTTTTCTCCGTGTTGTGTGGTTTCTTTTACTTCACCTTCAGATTCATGTGTACATGACCCTTTCATATCAACTTAGCTGTTAAATCTACCCAGTGAATTTTTATTTTCAATAATTACAATCTTTAGTCAGTAATTTTTTTATTCATTCTATTTCTTTGCTGAAACTCTTCATTTATCTGTTGAATTTTCATGTGTTGAATATATTTACTTCCTTGAGGATACTTGTAGTAGTTTTTTTTTTAATCTATGTCTATTAAAACATTTTATTTATCCTAGTATTGGATTTGATCAGTTTTCTTTCTCTTAGGAAGTATTTTGTTTATTTTTCTTTTTTCTTTCCTTCTTTCTTTCTTTTTTTTTTTTTTTTTTTTCATATGCTAGGAAAATTTGACTCCAGCTAGTATAGGCCCTCATTTTAGTGATAATGGAAATTAAACTAGAGTCAACTTAGTATGAATTTGTGGGCCAAAGATTTAATTGGCTAAAGAGAAAATTGTCTAAAAGAAGATGCAGTTCTAGGAGGCAAAGAGTTATAGAAATTGAGACAGTGTCATTCAAGTTCACTGTACACTTACCAATCAAT